ACAAGCATTCTCCCAAACGCCTCCGTTTTAATTTTTAATAGGGTAACTATCGATAAATACAACCCCTACAAAGAAAAACTCCTTGGAGGGTCCCCCCTCATTTTTATCAAAGGGAAAGGGTCACGAAAGCAAAAAGTTTAAGAAACCCTGCTCTAAAAACCCTAAGCAAGCTGGCTGGGGAATTCTGGGAGTTGTAGTCCGCCCGTTTCAAAGATGCTGACATTGAGAAACCACGCCCAAGCGAATAACGGATTAATGCAAGCCACCCTTTTGCTACCGCCTCGGCCAAAAATCCCCACTATTTTCAAGAATAATTAAATTTCTCCTTTATTGTAAAAGAAAAAAAAATATGCCTGGAAAGGAAGCAAAAAAAAAGGTTTAAATATGAACTCCGAAGCGCCCGCGGGAGGAGGACTCTTCCTTTTTCTTCTCTCTATGAGACTCGCGCCGTACTTCCCCTTGCAGCCCCGCCCTTTCCTTTGGCCCGGCCCCCGCGAAGTTTCTAGGCGACCGCGGTGCATCCTGGGGGAGGGAGCGTTTAACCAGGGCCGCCGCCAAGATGATGGTGAGTGAGGGGGAAAGCGGTGGCGGAGCCGCGTTTATCCGCCGCCATCCGCCGCGGGGCGGGCGTCGTTCTCCTCGCGGGTGGCCTTCTCCTCCTCGGGAGAGGCTTCTCGGCGAGAAGGAGCCGGTATTGATGGGAAGCCGGGATGGGTCGCCGGTGGGCGGGAGGCCGACGCGGGAGCCTCGCCGGCGGCTGCGCTCCTGTAACGTACAAAGGCCTCCCTCGAGCCGGAGCTTAAAGCCCAACGGGCTGCACGCGGTCAGGGCTGGAACCCCGGAGACTAAAACTCCCGGCATGCTCTGCGGCAGCCGGCTCCGTTAGCCGAATGGCTGCCTCGCCGCGAGGCCTTGTGGGAGGCGTAGTCCCAGAGGGAATAAAGGGCATTTGCCCCCCAAACGAGACCTAACCTACAGGTATTGTGGACGAGTGCACGTGTGAAGACGTTACGAGGCCTCTTATCCTGTGATGCACGGGATGGGTGTGCAGAAGAGGCAGCGCCCCTCCCCTATTTGTAAAATTTTAATTTTTTTATAATAATAATCAAGTTGGAAGGGACCTTGGAGGGCATCTAGTCCAGCCCCCTGCTCAGGCAGCAAACCCTATACCATTTCAGACAAATGGCTGTCCAGTCTCTTCTTAAAAACTTCCAGTGTTGGAGCATTCACAGCTTCTGGTGGCAGGTTGTTCCACTGGTTAATTGTTCTAACTGTCAGGAAGTTTCTCCTTAGTTCCACCAGGTTGCTTCTCTCCTTGATATGTTTTAATTTATAGTTTTAATTTATGTCCTGCCCCATCTCACTGCCTGGGCTTCTTTCAACAGTAGATAAACACAATCCAGGCAGTCCTCGACATTGCAACGGGTTCATTTAGTGACCGTTCAAAGTCAGAAGGGCCCTGGAAAAAGGGGACTCGGGGCCGCCTTTCACGCTTGCGGCCGTTGGCGGCATCCTCATCTCGTCAGGCGATCCAAATTCAGACCCTTGGCAACTGACTCAGTGTTGATGATGGGGAAGCCATGTTCACTTAACCAGCTTGTGGTTCATTGAACAACTGCATTGGTTCGCTTAGCGACCGGCAAGAAAGATGGTCAGACGGGGCAAAACGCCCTTAGCAAATGTTTCACTTGGGCAACAGGTATTTGAGGCTCCGTTGTGGCCGTAAGTTGAGGACTATGTGTACATCCCTTAAGACAGTGGTTCTCAGCCTTTTTAATACCGCGACCCTAACCGGTCGTAAGTCGAGGACTAAACCGGTCGTAAGTCGAGGACTACCCAACCGGTCGTAAGTCGAGGACTTTCCCTGCCCGGGAGCGCCGCCCCCTGCGCCGGCCGAGGCGTAGCTGGCAAGTGGCAGAGACGGAGCAGGCCGACCACCAGCTGGCCCAGCCCAAGGGAGGTAAGGCACCCGCCAGAAAAGGGGAAAAAAATGGCGGACAAAAAAAATGGCAGACAAAAAAAATGGCGGACAGCCTTGCTTGGCGACCCCCGTGAAATGGTCGATCGACCCCAAATGGGGTCCCGACCCACAGGTTGAGAACCACTGCCTTAAGACATCACTGTTGTTTTTACCAAGCTGCCTGAGCAGGGGGCTGGACTAGCAGACCTCCAAAGTCCCTTCCAGCTCCTGTTCTGTTCTATTCTATTCTCTATTCTCTACTTTCTATTCTGTTCTATATTATATTCTATTCTTATCATTATTCTATTCTTAAGATTGCTCTATATTCTATTCTATTATCTACTCTATTCTATATTCTAATCTGTTCTATATTCTATTCATTATTCCTATTCTATTCTATCATTCTATTCTATATTCTATCATTCTATTGTTATTCTATTATTCTATCATTACTCTATTCTTATTCTATTCTATCCTTATATTCTATTCTTATTATTCTTATTCTATTCTTATTCTATCATTATTCTATTTTATTCTATTCATTCTATTATTATTCTATTATTATTCTATCATTCTATCCTATCTCTAGTCTATTCTATTCTTTTATATATTCTATATTCTATTCTGTTCTATATTCTACTCTATTCTTATCATTACTCTATTCTGTTATCATTCTATTCTTAACATTACTCTATATTCTATTCCATTATCATTATTCTATTCTATTCTTAACATTATATTCTATTCCATTATCATTATTCTATTCTTATCATTACTCTACTCTTCAGCTTTCTGCCTTTTCCATGCCAGAAATAACTGGATAACAATTTCCTTGTGCGTGCAATCCAATGTGTTGCTGCGATCCCTGACCTCTGACCCAACCTTCTTTTACCTGCAGCCCACACCTGTTATCCTGTTGAAGGAAGGCACGGACACTTCCCAAGGCATCCCGCAGCTGGTTAGTAACATCAGCGCTTGCCAAGTGATTGCGGAAGCCGTGCGGACCACGCTGGGCCCCCGGGGCATGGACAAACTCATTGTGGACGACAGAGGTGAGGCTGGTGCTGACAGGGAACCCACCATTGCCAGGAGGTCAGGGGTTTCCACATTGGGTGGGTTTTAAGCCTTGTGGACCTACGTGGGTCGGACTACATGGGTCTCATCCTGACAGGCTCCTCTTTCGTTGTTCGGATTTTACTCAAATGTCCCAATACATCCAATAGTCTTCTGTATACAGATCTGACAAATAATAATAACAATAACAACAACAACAACAACAATAATAAAGTTGGAAGGGACCTTGGAGGTCATCTAGTCCAACCCCCTGCTCAGGCAGGAAACCCTACACCATTTCAGACAAATGGCTGTCCAGTCTCTTCTTAAAAACCTCCAGTGTTGGAGCATTCACCGCTTCTGGAGGCAGGTTGTTCCACTGGTTAATTGTCCTCACTGTCAGGAAGTTTCTCCTTAGTTCTAGGTTGCTTCTCTCCTTGATTAATTTCCATCCGTTGCTTCTCGTCCTGCCCTCAGGCGCTTTGGAGAATAGCTTGACTCCCTCTTCTTTGGGGCAACCCCTGAGATACTGGAAGACTGCTATCATGTCCCCCCTCGTCCTTCTCTTCATTAAACTAAACATTCCCAATTCCAGCAACCGTTCCTTATGTGTTTTAGCCTCCAGTCCCCTGATCATCTTTGTTGCTCTTCTCTGCACTCTTTCTGGAGTCCCAACAACTGTCCATCTTTGCAGGCAAAGCGACCATTTCCAATGACGGCGCCACCATCCTGAAGCTTCTCGACGTGGTCCACCCTGCTGCGAAGACGCTGGTGGATATTGCCAAGTCCCAGGATGCAGAGGTGGGCTTGGGGGAAAGGGGACACACAACTGAGGGGTGGGTGGGTGGGTGTCTATGCAGGTTCTCCGTCATCCATTGTCCTGATGAATGTTTTCTTCAAAAGGCAACTGGGCTGTTTTTTTGTTTTCTTTTGTTTTTTTCCTTGAGGAAGAAGAAGGAGAAAACATTTTGCTTCTCCTCCAAGAAGCTTCATCCGTTCTGAGGGCGGGAGGGGACCGGATGGAAGGATGGGTCCTTTATCAGAACGGATGAAGCATCTTGGATGAGAAGTGAAATGTTTTCAGGGGAGGGGGAAACCCCAACAAAGTCCAGTAGCCTTTTTTTAAAAAATATTTTTATTGAGTTTTATAGAGGTAATAAAGGGATAGGGCCAAAAAGGATAAGACAACGGGAAACATACAAAAAGGCTAGACCAGGGGAAAGGGGTAACACAAAAGTGGGATTAATCCCACAAAATAACATCGCTTCAGCAAGTCTAGCAGTCCGGGTTTGCATATTAAATCTTAATAATTACTCTATTATTAAACAACTTTCCATATACTCATGTAAATAACAAATTAGTCAATAAATCTCATTCATTTCAGTACTTAACAAAGTCCAGTAGCCTTTTGAACAGCACCTTTGAGAGAAGTGGAGGGGGGGCATTCCAGGGGGTTCCCCAAGGCCTCTGCAAAGTGAAGGAAGTGCCCCACTGAGAGACAGCGGAGAGACTTCCTGTTGTGATTCCGTGCCGGCCAGTGGACCCGGCAGCTGAGTCCCGGGAATCCGAGGAGGAGGAGGAAGAGGGGCCTGGAGAGCCATCAGAGGAGGAGGAAGGCTCTGATGAGCTTCAGGACTGGTGCTCAGGCTGAGACCCAGCTGTGCGGGGAAGCCGAGTCAGACCCTGAGGACTCACAGCTGGAAGACATCACAGACGCTGGCAAACACAGAGAGGCAACCAGAGCAGGACAGAGGGAGGCCATGGGGCGACTCCAAGGCAGGAGGAGAAGGCATTGAGAAGCCACGCCTTGGGGGCTGCAGAATAAAAAGGGAAGGTGTGGGCGATGCTGGTTGCTGAAGGCAACCGATTGCAAAAGACTCAAGTTTCATGGAATCAGATTCTGTTTGCCTTGCCTGTGAACAATTCTCCGTTTGAATCGTGTTTTGGTTGCTTTGGCTGTTGGGACATTTTGCAGGTCTGTAGCTAATTAATAAAAGGGGTTGGTTTTTCCTGCATTGCCAGCCTACTCATTAAAAGAGGGGGTTTGTCCTGGTGAGTTAACAAGGACTCACATAGGCTGGGACAGAACACTCCCATTCTCCCGAGCAGGGGTCTTCAAACTTGGCCCTTGGATGACTTGTGGACTACAACTCCCAGAATTCCTGGCTGAGGAATTCTGGGAGTTGAAGTCCACAAGTCATCCAAGGGCCAAGTTTGAAGACCCCTGCTATAAACTTTAAGAGGAGTGGACCTCAACTCCCAGAATTCCTTAGCCAGCGTGCCTGGCTGAGGAATTCTGGGAGTTGACATCCACAAGTCATCAAAGGGCCACGTTTGAAGACCCCTAGTATAGACTTTAAGAGGAGTGGACTTCAACTCCCAGAATTCCTCAGCCAGCGTGCCTGGCTGAGGAATTCTGGGAGTTGAAGTCCACCAGTCATCAAAGGGCCAAGTTTTAAGACCCCTGATGTAGACTTTAAGAGGAGTGGACTTCAATTCCCAGAATCCCTTAGCGCAGCGTGCCTGGCTGAGGAATTCTGGGAGTTGAAGTCCACAAGTCATCAAAGGGCCAACTTGGAAGACCCCTGATATAGACTTTAAGAGGAGTGGACTTCAACTCTCAGAATTCCTCATCCAGTGTGGAATTCTGGGAGTTGAAGTCCACAAGTCATCAAAGGGCCAAATTTGAAGACCCCTGTCCCCAGAGGAAGAAAAGTGGGAGTTTCGCTGCTCAGCTGACCCAGGAAAGCCCTTCCTCTTATTCCGAGACTTTTCCTTCCCAGGTCGGGGACGGCACCACGTCGGTGACTCTCCTGGCGGCCGAATTCTTAAAGCAAATCAAGCCCTACGTGGAGGAAGGCCTTCACCCCCAGATCATCATCCGGGCTTTCCGCACGGCCACACAACTGGTAAGCTAGAAGACCCTGGTGCTCCTGTTTGCCCTCCGGAAGACTGTTTGATCTAATGCAGGGGTCCCCAAATCCCCGATCTGTGGACCGACACCAGTCCGCAGCAGTGGCAGAAACTGCTCTGCGCAAGCAAGCAAGCGAAGTCCCATCTGCGGGATGCAGGCAGCAGGTGAAGCGGTTTTTGCGGTAAAACCTTTCTCCATGGAACCGGTCCCTAGTGCCCAAAAGGTTGGGGTCCACTGATCGAAGGAATGTAAGAATAAGGAGATGATAGGAGGTCTCCAGAAAGTAGAAGGAGACCCTCTACCATCTCAGACAAGCGGCCGTCCAGTCTTCCTTGAAAAGCTCCAATGATAGAGCATCCGTAACATCTGGAGGCAAGTAGTTCCACTGGTTAATTGATGCAGGTAACAGAATAACCGACTTGGAAAGGACCTCGGAGGTCATCTAGTCCAACCCCCTGCTCAGGCAGGAAGCCCCATAGTACCATTTCAGACAGATGGCTGCCCAGTCTCTTCTTAAAAACCTCCAGTGACGGGGCACCCACAACTTCTGGTGGCAAGCAGTTCCACTGGTTAATTGTCCTCACTGTCAGGAAGTTTCTCCTCAATTCCAGGTTGCTTCTCTCCTTGATTGGTTTCCATCCGTTGCTTCTGGTCCTGCCTTCAGGTGCTTTGGAGAACACAGGGTGAAGGCTTACTCAGGAAAATAGTATAATTGGATTGGAAAGGGATCTTGGAGGTCATCTAGTCCAGGGGTCTGCAAACCCCCGGTCCATGGACCGGTACTAGGCCACGGCATGCCACACAAACAAGCAAAGCCTCATCCATGGGATGCAGGCAGCACACAAAACCACGCACCTTCCGGTCCGCGGAAAAATCTCTCCACGGAACCGGTCCCTGGTGCCCAAAAGGTTGGGGGGGGGGCTCTGCTCTAGTCCAACCCCCTGCTCAAGCAGGAGACCCTTACAGAATTCTAGAAAAACAGCTGGTAGGGACCATGCAGGTCATCTAGTCCAACCCCCTGCTCAAGCAGGAAACCCTATACCATTCCAGACCAATGGCTGTCCAGTCTCTTCTTAAAACTTCCAGTGTTGGAGAATTCACAGCTTCTGGAGGCAGGTTGTTCCACTGGTTAATTGTTCTCAATGTCAGGAAGTTTCTCCTTAGTTCCAGGTTGCTTCTCTCCTTGGTGAGTTTCCATCTGTTGCTTCTTATCCTGCCTTCAGGCACTCTGGAGAAGAGCTCCCTCTTCTTTGGGGCAGCCCCTGAGATACTGGAACGCTGCTATCCTGTCCCCCCTCATCCTTCTCTTCATTAAACTAGACATCCCCAATTCCAACAACCATTCCTTATATGTTTTAGCCTCCAGTCTCCTAGTCATCTTTGTTGCTCTTCTCTGCCCTCTTTCTAGAGTCTCAACATCTTTTTTACATCGTGGCGACCAAAACTGAATGCAGGATTCCCCATTTGCTCTTACCAAGGCCTTATAAAGCAGTACTAAGAGTTCATATGATCTTGAGTCTGTCCCTCTGTTGATGCAGCCTAGGGCTGCGTCGACTTTTTTGGCTGCTGCCACACCTTGCAACTTGTGGCTCCACAATTCTACCTGTTGTGTACTGGGAGAAAAGGGAAATTTTATTATTATTATTATTATTAATAATAATAATAATAATAATAATAATAATAATAATAATAATAATAATATAGTAATAATAATGTTGGGCGGGACCTCGGAGGTCATCTAGTCCAACCCCCTGCTCAGGCAGGAAACCCTGTACCATTTCGGACAAATGGCTGTCCAGTCTCTTCTTAAAAACTTCCAGTGTTGGAGCATTCACCGCTTCTGGAGGCAGGTTGTTCCACTGGTTAATTGTTCTCACTGTCAGGAAGTTTCTCCTTAGTTCCAGGTTGCTTCTCTCTTTGGTTAGTTTCCATCTGCTGCTTCTTGTCCTGCCTTCAGGGGCTTTGGAGTATGGATTGACCTTTTCTTTTTTTTCCTTCGGCAGGCAGTGGATAAGATCAGGAAGATTGCCGTCACAATCAAGAAGACAGACCAGGGGTAAGGGGCTCGGTCTCTTTTGCGATTCTGTTTGCGGGGAAAAATCAATTCTCGAACGAGCGGGATGGATGAAATGCAGTTGACACCCAGAGAGAGGAACTCCATAGTCTGTTCTGTTACTAGAACAATCCTTGGCGAGGGGGGGGAGAAATATATTTAAATCTGGCCTTCCCCAAGCTGATCCGTACTCTGGATTTCCGGGAGAGATTTCTCTCCTCGATGGTTGCCCTATTACTCATTCCTCCCTTTTGGAGTCTGATGGAAAACGGGGGCCAGAAGTAACCCCAACTCCATTCCCTAAATTAGCCAGAGCTCCTTTGCCTCTGAGGATGTATGCTTTGCATCATCTGCCTGTTCTGAGATCCCATAAATATTTATCCACGGGATAAACCGGATCGACCACCGCGTTACCTAACTGAACAACGGCGGGGATGCGGCGTGGCGAGAAAGGTGGCCAAATGGAGCAGAGCTGGCGGAGCAAAGGTCTCGCTTAGCGACGTGAATGTGGGGTTCTGTTGTGGTCGTATGTCGAGGACTAGCTGTAATTGAGAATTAGAGCTGCCTCAGCCCGGGCTGGCCTAAAGCAGGGGTCCCCAAGCTTGGCCACTTTATGATTCGTGGACTTCAACTCCCAGAATTCCTCAGCCAGCGTGCCTGGCTGAGGAATTCTGGGAGTTGAAGTCCACGAGTCATACAAGGGCCAAGTTGGAAGACCCCTGATATAGACTTTAAGAGGAGTGGACTTCAACTCCCAGAATTCCTCATCCAGCGTGCCTGGCTGAGGAATTCTGGGAGTTGAAGTCCACAAGTCATCAAAGAGCCAAGTTGGAAGACCCCTGCTGTAGACTTTAAGAGGAGTGGACTTCAACTCCCAGCATTCCTCAGCTAGGCACACTGGCTGAGGGATTCTGGGAGTTGAAGTCCACGAGTCATATAAGGGCCAAGTTGGGAGACCCTGATATAGACTTTAAGAGGAGTGGACTTCAACTCCCAGAATTCCTCAGCCAAGCACGCTGGCTGAGGGATTCTGGGAGTTGAAGTTCACAAGTCATCAAAGGGCCGAGTTTGAAGACCCCTGCTGTAGACTTTAAGAGGAGTGGACTTCAACTCCCAGAATTCCTTGGCCAGCGTGCCTGGCTGAGGAATTCTGGGAGTCGAAGTCCACAAGTCATAAACCATGCATAGCGTCCCTCTTCCTTTGTTTTCTCCAATCTCGTCATCGTCCCCCCCCAACAGAGAGCTGATGGGCCTGCTGGAGAAGTGCGCCAGCACCGCTTTGAGCTCCAAGCTGATTTCCCAGCAAAAGGAGTTCTTCGCCAAGATGGTGGTGGACGCGGTCATGATGCTGGACGAGCTGCTGCAGATCAAAATGATCGGCATCAAGAAGGTGCAAGGCGGAGCGTTGGAGGTGAGCTTCCGGAGTGGGGGACGGTCCGGGATGGTCCCGGGCGTTTCTTGATGTGTTCAATAAACGAAGCCGCCCAAAATTCGGGCCAAGCTTCTATCCAGGTGGTGAGCTAGGGCCCCTTTAGGACTTCTGGACTTCAACCCCCAGAATTCCCCAGCCAGCGTCGCGCTCCCCGAGGATTCTGGGACTTGGAAGTCTCACCCCCTCCTCTCAAAAGTTGGGAAAACGCTGTTTGGAAGGGTTAAGCTCTAGAGTCTTGCGAATTGCAGGACTTAGCCAGATGTTTTGGGAAGCTCCCCCACCCCCCTAAGCAATTTGGTCTTTCCGCAGGATTCCCAGCTGGTGGCTGGAGTGGCCTTCAAGAAAACCTTCTCCTACGCCGGGTTCGAGATGCAGCCCAAGAAGTACGAGTCGCCCAAGATCGCCCTGCTGAACATTGAGTTGGAGCTGAAAGCCGAGAAGGACAACGCGGAAATCCGAGTCCAGAATGTGGCGGTGAGGCCTGGTCTCTTCCTTGGGGGGGTGGTGGAGGGGTTGGACAGAGGAAGCTGTGCAGATAGGGCAGAGGAAGCTGTGCAGAAAGGGGGTGTGGGCTGAGAGTCTCGGAGGCTTTGTGTTGATGGACATCTTGGCTGGACACGGCTGTTGTACCTAAGCCAGGGTTCCTCAGCGTAACCATTTTAAGATGTGTGGGCTTCATCCCCCAGAATTCCTCAGCCAGCATGGGAGTTGAAGTCCACACATCTTAAAATGGGTAAAATTGGGAATAGAATAGAGTAGAGTAGAATGAAGAATAGAATAGAATAGAATAGAATAGAATAGAATAGAATAGAATAGAATAGAATAGAATAGAATAGAGTAAATATTGGAAAGTAGAGTAGAGTAGAGTAGAATATAGAATAGAATAGAAATAAGAATAGAATAGAAATAAGAATAGAATAGAAATAAGAATAGAATAGAAATAAGAATAGAATAGAATAAATATTGGAAAATAGAATAGAATAGAATATGAAAAGATAGAATAGAATAGAATAGGAATAGAATAAAGGAAAATAGAATAGAATAGATCTATAATAGAATAGAGCATAGCTGGAAGGGACCTTGGAGGTCTTCTAGTCCAGCCCCCTGCTCAAGTAGGAGAACCTATACCAGGGATAGGCAACCTTGGCTCTTTTATGACTCGTGGACTTCAACTCCCAGAATTCCTGAGCCAGACAGCACCAAGCACCAAGCCTGGGAGTTGAAGTCCACAAGTCATAAAAGAGCCAAGGTTGCCCACCCCTGACCTATACCATCTCAGACAAGTGACTGTCTTAAAAACCTCCAGTGATGGAGCGCCCATGATTTCTGGTGGCAAGCTGTTCCACTGGTTAATTGTCCTCACTGTTAGGAACTTCCTCCTTAATTCCAGCTTTTTCCCTATTGTTCTAAGGCCCAACTCCCATCACTTAAACATTTCTTTTAAGAAATGAAATACTGGTCCAGCAGCTGAAGGCCACAAGGCCACCCCAAAAGGAGGAGGGGTGCTCTAGGAAAACGCCATCCTCCTCCTCGTCATTATTATTATTACTGTATTGGTAGTCCTCGACTTAACGACCACAATTGAGCCCAAACTTTCTGCCGTTAAGCGAGACATTCGTTCAGTGAGTTTTGCCCCATTGTACGGCGTTGAAAGGGATCACATGACCCCGGGACAGTGCAACTGTCATAAATACAAGTCAGTTTCCAAGTGTCCAAAGGTAAATCACAAGACCCTGGGGATGATCCGACGGTCGTGAGGATGAAAAACGGTGATAAATCACCTTTTTCACCGCTGTCGTAACTGAACGGTCACTAAACGAATGATTGTTAAGTCAAGGACTGCCTGTAGCGCTTGCTATCGCCACATCAATTATCCCCACTTCTTTTTTTTTTAATAATATATTATTAATTTTCCAATTTTACATTTAAAGTATTTAAAAAGCAACGTGGTGACTGGGTTAATCAATAGTTCGATAACAAAATCTTTAGTGCAAATCTCAGGTTACAACATCAGATATTTCTTCTCTTTTTCTCTTAACATTTACTGTCTCGTATTCAAGCTAGTAGAGTTCTTATTACATCAACTCAATAAAAACATCATTATTGCATTTATCAATAATTGTTTAGCTTATACATATCTTAATTACATTCAATCTTCATAAACAATCCATATCCTGTTATTTCTCGTCAATATTCCCATTTAACCTTTGATATTTGTGATTTGAGGGCTTTAGGTAACCATGATTTCCCTTGTCTCAATTCATAACAAAATTTGATATCCAAAATACACATTTTATCTATTTGAATGTAATCTCGTTCTATTTCCTAAGAGTTATCTATTTCCCCCCCATATTAAATCATCTACTAAATAATACAATATCCCCTTTAACAAATCAAAACCATTATGTATATTGCCTGGGTTAATCAATAAATCAAACATACTCATAATAGTTAATTTTCTTTTTCCTTTTAGGTCAAATTTTTAAATATTAAACAGATACAGTCCTTATTTTCAACTAATTTCCAAGTGTTTTGAATCTCAGGACCAGAATTCCCCTTATCTCAGCTTCTCCCTTTAAACCCTCTAATTAATAATATAAAATCCCCTCTAATAAGTCAAAACCCCACTTTTCCTCAACCTTATTCGGGCTTTCTTTCTTTGCCAACTAGGCTTCCATATCAGTGCTTTTAGATCGTCAAATAGATCTCCCTCTATTATTGTATATGTTATTTGAAATAACCCACTTCCTTCTTTTCAACCACAATCAAAAGCTGGTCTGTTGCGCGCCAAAACCATGATCCGTTGTCTTGTGGTTAGATAATCCCAGCCTTTTGGATCTGCCTCTACAGGACTACCAGGCCATCGTGGACGCCGAGTGGAACATTTTATATGACAAGCTGGATAAGCTCCACAAATCCGGGGCCAAAGTGATCCTGTCCAAACTGCCCATCGGAGACGTGGCTACTCAGTACTTCGCAGACCGGGACATGTTCTGCGCTGGCCGGGTCCCCGAAGAGGATCTGAAGAGGACCATGATGGTATGGGTCCTTCTCTTCTGGACATCCGGGGTTCCCCGTAGACCGACGGGAAAATGACCGAGTCTGAATCGGAGGGAGGGGGGAACAGACTCTCCGTTGACACACAGTGTAGTTGTGCAGGGCTTTCCCACAGGGGTCCCCACTAGTGGTCCAGGAAGAAGGAAGAAGAGGACGACGACTGGAGGCCTTGGTGGACTGTTGAGATAGCTTGTTTTCTCGCAGATGTTTCATTGTAGCACTGATGATGTTCCCTAGTTGGGTGATGAAACGTCTGTAAGAAAACAACCAAGCTCAGAGAGCACCCAGGACCCCACAGTCGTCGTCCTCCTCCTAAACCTAAACCTCACTCCCTTCTAGCACTGTTTGGAAATTCCTGGAAGGGTCCTTTGGTGAACTTCAGACCTTGCTCCACACCTGAAGCAGACTAGATTCTTTCTTTCTTCTTCTTCTTCTTCTTCTTCTTCTTCTTCTTCTTCTTCTTCGGTCCTTTGGTGAACTTCAGACCTTGCTCCACACCTGAAGCAGACTAGATTCTTTCTTTCTTCTTCTTCTTCTTCTTCTTCTTCTTCTTCTTCTTCTTCTTCTTCTTCTTCTTCTTCTTCTTCTTCTTCTTCTTCTTCTTCTTCTTCTAGAAGAAGAAGAAGAAGAAGAAGAAGAAGAAGAAGAAGAAGAAGAAGAAGAAGAAGAAGAAGAAGAAGAAGAAGAAGAAGAAGAAGAAGACCTTCTCCTTCTCCTTCTCCTTCTCCTTCTCCTTCTCCTTCTCCTTCTTCCTCCTCCTCTTTCTTTCTCTCTCTCTCTCTCTCTCTCTCTCTTTTTCTTTCTTTCTTTCTTTTTTTTTCTTAACCCCCACTCCCTTCTAGCACTGATCATGTTCCCTAGTTGGGTCATGAAAAATCTGCCGGAAAACCATCAAACTCAGAGAGCACCCCCACAGTCCTCTCCTCCTCCTCCTCCTCCTCCCACTTCCTTCTAGCACTGATGATGTTCCCTAGTTGGGTCATGAAACGTCTGCAAGAAAACCACCTAGCTCAGAGAGCACCAAGGACCCCACAGTTCCCCCCCCTCCTCCTCCTCTCAAACCCCATTCCCTTCTAGCACTGATGATATTCCCTAGTTGGGTCTTGAAACGTCTGCAAAGAAAACCACCTAGCTCAGAGAGCATCAGGGACCCTCCCCTCCCTCCACCCCACTCAATCCTGGGCTACCAATATTCTCTTCTCTTGCTAGAGGTGGGAGTGTTAAAAAAAAACCCCAGCTGTGGGATCTCAGGTGGGCTTCTGAACGACTTGTGGCTGCGTAGACGTCGCGCTAAGAGGGCTCTTTCTCCTGGCAGGCCTGCGGAGGATCCATCCAGTCCAGCGCAAACGCCCTCACGGACGACGTCCTTGGACGCTGCGCGCTCTTTGAGGAGGCCCAGATTGGAGGGGAGAGGTAAGGGGATGGGGGGGGGCAGTTGTCTGGGAGGCTTCAGGCGCCGGGAAGACCCTCGGGATGAGCCCAGCGCATCCCTGCTCTTCATTCGGCAACCTCCGAGAAGATTGCCGGGATTAAAATGGCATTTTGGCTTCCTGGCCTTCTTCCCGCTTCTAAATTGAAGCCGGTGTAGACTGTGGCTTTCTGGAAAGCAGACCTGGCTGATGTCCTGGGAATTTGCAACAACATCTGGAGAGGGCGCCAGCTGTGTCTTCCATCACGTGAAGTGTTAATACCACTTTACAAAGCCTTGGTAAGGCCACACTGGGAATCCTGCATCCAGTTTTGGTCACCACAATGTAAAAAAGATGTTGAGACTCTAGAAAGAGTGCAGAGAAGAGCAACAAGGATGATCAGGGGACTGGAGGCTAAAACATATAAGGAACGGTTGCTGGAATTGGGTATGTCTAGTTTAACGAAGAGACGGACGAGAGGTGACATGATAGCAGCCTTCCAGTATCTCAGGGGCTGCCCCAAAGAAGAGGGAGTCAAGCTGTTCTCCAAAGCTCCTGAAGGCAGGAGAAGAAGTAACGGATGGAAACTAACCAAGGAGAGAAGCAACCTGGAACTAAGGAGAAACTTCCTGACAGTGAGAACAATTAACCAGTGGAACAACCTGCCTCCAGAAGCTGTGAATGCTCCAACACTGGAAGTTTTTAAGAAGAGACTGGACAGCCATTTGTCCGAAATGGTATAGGGTTTACTGCCTGAGCAGGGGGTTGGACTAGATGACCTCCAAGGTCCTTTCCAACTTTATTATTATTATTATTATTATTATTATTATTATTATTATTATTATTATTATTATTATTATTACCACCCCAGATTGTCGGTGGCGGGTGCTGTGAACAGTTTTGCTTTCCCAGGAAATAAGAGTCCTGGCGTGTTCGTTGGAAGGAATGCCGCCTTTAAATGACCCGCGCCGTCCGGAATTTGCTGGGACCTGAAAAATTGTACTCTGGGTGGTCGTCAACAACCATCCCTTTAGTGACTTGAAGTTAACAGTGGCCGTGAAAAAAAAAAAGACAGTTTTTCGCCCTTCAGGCCCCTGGCAGCAGCCCCAGGGCCATGTGATCAAAACTCAAAGACAGTTGGCAACTGGCATGTACTTAATGACGGTTGCAGCGCCCCTCTGTGTATGTGTGTGTGTGTGTGTGTGTGTGTGTGATGTGATTCACCTTCTGACAAGCCAAGCCAATGGGAAAGCCAGATTCACTTTAACAGCCGTGTCACCAACTTAACAACTGCAGGGACTCACTTAAGAACTGTGCCAAGAAAGGTCGTAAAATGAGGCAAAAACCCCCTTAACAGCTGTCTTGCTTAGCAACAGAGATGTAATAATGATGATGATGATGATGATGATGATGTACTACTACTACTACAACCTTCCCTGGAATCTCCAGTAGATCAGGTGGGGGGACGAGCCCGACTCAACACCCACATTCAGTTCCTGAAGGACGCGACTTAGAGGGACCGGCAACTTGCAATTTTGCCTGGACCGGAGGTAACGGAATTTTTCAGAAAAAAGTACGGGACGCCCTACAGAAGCTTCGGGGGGAAAGGGCGTCATCAAAAAAAGCAAAACTTTTTTTTTCTTTTTCTCCTGGGCAGGTATAACTTCTTCACAGGTTGCCCCAAGGCCAAAACCTGCACCATCATCCTGCGAGGCGGGGCGGAACAGATCATGGAAGAGACGGAGCGCTCCCTCCACGACGCCATCATGATCGTCCGGAGGGCGATCAAGGTACGTGTCCTTCGGTTCTTCTGCTGGGGGCTGGGGGGTGGGCTGGTTTGGGAGGAGGGGGAGGGCGGGGGGGGACAATGGACCTTGTCCTGCTGGCCAGGTGCCAAATTCCAGCCCCCCCCAAAGAAACACTTAGAATAGAATAGCGCTGGAAGGGACCTTCGAGGTCTTCTAGTCCAGCCCCTGCTCAGGCAGGAGAACCTATACCGTCTCAGACAAGTGACTGTCCAGCCTCTTCTTAAAAACCTCCAGTGATGGAGCACCCACGGTTTCTGGTGGCAAGCCGTTCCACTGGTTAATTGTCCTCACTGTCAGGAAGTTTCTCCTTAATTCCAGGTTGCTTCTCTCCTTGATCAGTTTCCAACCTTTGTTTCTCGTCCTTCCCTCTGGTGCTTTGGAGAATAGTTTGACACCCTCTTCTTTGTGGCAGAATAGAAAAGAATGGAATGGAATAATGATATAGAATAGAATAAATATTGGAATATAGAATAGAATAGAATAGAATAGAATAGAATAGAATAGAATAGAATAGAATAGAATAGAATAGAATAGAATAGAATAGAAGAATAATAGAATAGAGAATAATAATAGAATAAAATAATAATAGAATAGAATTAGAATAGAATAAAATAATAATATAATAATATAATAATAATGGAATAGAATAATAATAGAATAGAATAATAATAGAATATAATAATAGAGTAGAATAGAATAGAATAATGATATAGAATGAGAATAGAATAAAATAGAATGGAATAGAATAGAAGAGAACAGAAGAGAGCTGGAAGGGACCTTGGAGGTCTTCTAGTCCAGCCCCCCACTCAAGCAGGAGAACCTACACCATCTCAGACAAGTGACTGTCCAGCCTCTTCTTAAAAACCTCCAGTGATGGAGCGCCCACGATTTCTGGTGGCCGGCTGTTCCACTTGCCCATCTGGATTTTTTTTCCCTCCCCAGCACGACTCCGTCGTGGCCGGCGGGGGAGCGATAGAAATGGAAATCTCCAAATACCTCCGAGATTATTCCAGGACCATCCCGGGAAAGCAGCAGCTGCTGATCGGGGCCTACGCCAAAGCCCTGGAGATTATCCCACGGCAGCTTTGCGACAACGCCGGCTTCGACGCCACCAACATCCTCAACCAGCTCCGAGCCAAGCACGCCCAGGTGAGCTTCCGGGAGGGACGGGCTGTGAGCGTTCAGTTGTGCAAAAATATATATATATATATTTTTTTAAAAAATGTTTCTCCAGATTTCTAGCCCTGGACCTTGACATTTACTCTGTTCCCCCGGTGATCCTGGCCTTTGCGTCGTTCGAACGCAAAATTGAAATATTTAAATTTAACACTCGGTGGAGCAGAGGCAAACAGACATAAAAGACCAGGGTTTGAATCGGCAGCCTAAAAACGGCAGTAAATCTTTTTTCCATCGAGTCTTGTCTTACTGATAGCTGGACTCCGTCTGAAGGTTCACCTTCTGGCAGGTTGGTGACCTTCCTTGCCAGTTAGTTAGCTGGCCACTGTTTGAGAGAATTGTTGGGGCTCCTGATCCATCAGGACACAGGTTGCTTGTTTGTGGGGTGCTTGGTGCTGTCTGTCGACCATCCAGCCATCCATCCCTATCTACGTATCTGTGTAGGTTTTCCATCCATTCCTGCCTGTATGTGTCTATCTTCTGTCTGTCTGTCTGTCTGTCTGTCTGTCTATCTATCTATCTATCTATCTATCTATCTATCTATCTATCTATCTATCTATCTATCTATCTATCTATCTATCTATCTATCTAATCTATGCCATCTATATCTCATCTATATCTTATCTATCTAATCTATCATCTATATCTAACTATATTTATATCTTATCTATCATCCTATCTAATCTATCTAGTTATCCATCCTGTCTGTCTGTCTGTCTGTCTGTCTATCTATCTATCTATCTATCTATCTAATCTATCATCTATATCTAACTAACTATATTTATATCTTATCTATCTTATCTATATATCATCTATCTAATCTATCTAGTTATCCATCCTATCTGTCTGTCTACCTACGTACCTACCTACCTACCTACCTATCTATCTATCTATCTATCTATCATATATATATATATATATATATATATATCAATCATCTATCTATCCCATCTATCTAATCTATCATCTATATCTTATCTGTCTAACTAATTAACTAACTAATCTATATCATCTATATCTTATCTATCTAATCTATCATCTATATCTAACTAACTAACTATAGCATCTATATCTTATCTATCTATCATCTATCTAATCTATCATCTAGTTATCTATCCTATTTATCATCTATGTAATCTATCATCCATCTAATCTATTGGATCATCTATCTAATCTATCATCTATCTAGTTTGTCTGTCTATCTACCTACCTACCTATCATCTTTTCTGCTGTGCCCTCAGCTAAGTGACACTGGTCAGTTCACAAACAACGTTACAATGTGTTGCGTAAGTTTTTAAAACTGCCCGGCCATTTCCACCTTCTGTGATTCTGCTGGACTTCTGCCCCTGTACCTTCAGGGACCATCCAGTTGCAGCTTCTGCCTGCACCAGCCCCCCCCCCCCCGGCCTGCACATATCCTGCGCAGGTCCAGAGGGAGGCCTGCCCTTCCCCACCGCTGAGACCAGAAGCGGGGGAGGAGGGAGGGCAGGCCCTGAGGACGCAGGTGTCCGACGGCTTCAGGTCTCTTCTGTCTGCCCTGCAGGGAGGCACCTGGTACGGCGTGGACGTGAACAACGAAGACATCGCCGACAACTTTGCGGGCTGCGTGTGGGAGCCGGCCATCGTGCGCATCAACGCCCTGACAGCCGCCTCCGAGGCCGCCTGCCTCATCGTCTCTGTGGACGAAACCATCAAGAACCCCCGGTCCACCATGGACGCCCCTCCCGTCGGCCGCGGGCGAGGGCGAGGCCGGCCACACAACCACTGAAGGCCGGGCTTTGTGTCACGGGCGGGAGATGCCGGGGCAGGCGACAACCGGGCCTTCCCCACTCGCCCGGTTTTGGTCCGGTTTTCCCACGTGGGTTAGCGGAGCCGGCTTCCACGTTCGCACAGCCGAGAGTTACTCTTAATCCGGGGAGGTAATTTGCTCCCTTGAAATTCCAGGGAGAATTTCCTCGGCATGTCGAAATCCAGGCCCCCGCCTTCCTCTCCCAGTTCCTAAGAGCCCCCACCCCCCAAAAAAATCCGTGCAGATTTGACAAATGCTTGAATGTTACAAGGTGGTTCACTCTAGGTTGTATTTATTGGGTTTTTAATGGAGGTTTAAACTCCAGCAGGATCAAAATAAACCGTTCCCCACTCCCGGCTTCTCCTGTTTGTCTTCCGTGCTTCTCACCCACCTGAATTGGGCTGAAAGTGTTGGGAATTCTTTTATTAGGAATAAACACGAGCAGTCCTCGACTTAACGCCGTTCCTTTAGCGACCAGGGGAAAGAGACCGCAAGAGATGTATTTGGTATATAAGAAGACACAAACTCAAGACTGAATGTCTACGGTTGTGGTTGTGATTGTGGTTCAGGTTGTGGGATCCTACAGGCTGACTTCTGAAGGAGGATAAAATCCTTCCCCCCCCCCCCCCCCCAAATTTTTGCTTCTTTTACTGCCTTTTGTCTTAACTGTTTATATCCTGGTAGGGACGCTCACGAAGTTGTGCGATTTGTGTGTGCAAGAAATCGTGCGGAGCGAATGGCACGTAGTTCAGGGTGGCTTCAAGGAAAGACTGCAGCCGGAAGGCTTTCCGCACCACGCACCCTTCTGAATCCCAGCTCAAGGTTTAGGCCAGGGGTAGGCAACCTTGGCTCTTTTATGACTCCTGGACTTCAACTCCCAGAATTCCTGAGCCAGCCATGCTGAGGGGACAGGGAGAGGTTTCCAAGCGGAGCCATGCTGGCTCAGGAATTCTGGGAGTCGAAGTCCACGAGTCATAAAAGAGCCACCCCTGGTTTAAGGAGAAAGAGCTGCTTATTTCGATCGCTGCCTTTGCGTTTCTTGGCAACCATCCACCCAGGAAAGAAGCTTGGTGGGTGTTTTATTGACCTGAGCGACCGCAGGAAGGATTGGATTTAAAAGAGGCTCTGCAGGGTTTCTCAATTTGAAGAGCCGCGGACAGACTGCAACTCCCAGAATTCCCCAGCCAGAGGTTTACCATCAGTGCCGCCCCCCCCCCCTCGCTGTGTGGCCTTAATGGACATTTGTCTGGCAAAAGCCTCACTTTTATCTTAAAACGCCTCTGGATTTATTTAATTGCTTCGCATCTTGAGAGAGGTTAGGAAAAGCAGCCAAGATCAAAGACTGAATGTGTAACTCTCGCTGCAGGGGTCCTGGGGGGGCAGAAGGGGGGGGGCTGGGACTATGAGCCACTCTTGGACTTGCCAGTGGCTATAGGAATGGGAAAGGAGAAGGAGGAAGAAATGGGAAGGAGGGGAAAGGGGGAGGAGGGAAGGAACAAAGGCGAGAGGAGGGAACATGAAGGAACAAGGGAGGGGGGAACTGGAAGGAAGGAGAGGGGAAAAGGGAGGAGAGAATGGGAAGGAAGGAAGAGGAATTGGAAGGAGAGGGGAAAAGGGAGGAGAGAATGGGAAAGAAGAAGGGAAGGAAGGAAAGAACAAGAGGAAACGAAGGAAGGGAGAGAAAAGGGAGGAGAATGGGAAGGAAGGAAGAGGAATTGGAGAGGAGAAAAGGGAGAGAATGGGAAAAAAGGGAAGGAAGGAAAACGGGGAACTGGAAGGGAGGATAGAGAAGGGAGAGAATGGGAAGGAAGAAAGGAAGAGGGGAACTGGAAGGAAGGAAGAGAAAAGGGAGGAGAGAATGGGAAGGAAGGAAGGAGGGAACTGGAAGGAAGGAAGAGAAAAGGGAGGAGGGAAGGAAAGAATTGGCAATAGGATGGATTGATGGAAGGAGAGGAGAATGAAGGAACAAGAGGGAATGGGATAGATTGATGGAAGGAAGGAACAAAGGAAATAGAGGGGAAGGGGAAGGAACAAGGGAACAGGAAGCAAGGAAGGAGAGGGGAAGGAATGAAGGAACAGGAGAGAATGGGATGGAGGGAAGGAAGGAAAGAAAAAAATAGGGAAGGAAGAAAGGAGAGGAACAGGATGGAAGGAAGGGGGAGGGAGGAAGAAGAAACAATAAATGACAGCTGCACACATTATCAATGTATATAAAAAGGGGGTGGGTTTTCTGTAGCTGGCACCACCCTGACTCCCTTCCCTTTCCCGGAGCACTCTTATCTGCCCAAATGGATCTGGATGATGGGATGCTGTTGCGCTTCAGCAACCGACCAGCGGGTGCTATCACACCTGTTCCCCAACACATCTCCCACCTACCTGCCACGCACACCTGGGCCGAAAGCTGCTTCTTGGGCACCACCTCTGGGGTCAAAGCGACCCACGCAGGACAAAATCCATTTTGCCCCACAGGAGAAGCCCTCCAGAACTCAGCAGCTCCTAAGTCAGCATCCAACCAAGCAGCGAACGCCCAGCGCCGGATGTCTGCTGAGGAACTATGGTTTACCAACCTGCATCTTGCAGGTTCTTTGGCAACCCAGTCAGATAAGCCGTTGACGAGCGCAGTGGACCGACCGGTCCCCTCCTGGCCCAGTTCTATCATTTCTCTTGGCTTCACGTCAACCTAAGCTTCAAGCACGTATCCAGTTGTGGACATCTTCCATGGTGGCCTCATTTGAGCCTGCTTTCCAGATTGCGGATATCTGGACCAAACCGATGGTCATCAGGAAGAAAAAGACCCAACATAGTTAGCTTGCTTCTCATATTTGAGGGGCTGCCACAAAGAAGAGGGGGGGGGAATCCTCCTGTTCTCCAAGGAGGAGAAGCACCGGATGGAAACGGATCAAGGAGAGAAGCAACCTGGAACTAAGGAGAAACTTCCTGACAATCGGAACATTAATTAACCAGTGGAACAGCTTGCCACCAGAAGTTTTGAGTGCTCTTAACACTGGAGGTTTTGAAGAAAAGATTGGACAACCGTTTATCTGAAATGGTAGAGGGTTTCCTGCTTGAGCAGGGGGTCAGACTAGAAGACCTCCAAGGTCCCTTCCAGTTGGAAACGTTGCCCTAAAGCAGGAGCGTCCAGCCTCGGTCACTTATTAAGACTTGTGGACTTTAACAGACTTTAGTACAGAGAAGAGCAACGAAGATGATCAGGGGACTGGAGGCTAAAGCATATAAGGAACGGCTGCTGGAATTGGGGATGTCTAGTTTAATGAAGAGAAGGACGAGGGGGGACACGATAGCAGCCTTCCAGTGTCTCAGGGGCTGCCCCAAAGAAGAGGGAGTCAAGCTATTCTCCAAAGCCCCTGAAGGCAGGACAAGAAGCAACGGGTGGAAAGTAATCAAGGAGAGACGCAACCTAGAACTAAGGAGAAACTTCCTGACAGTGAGAACAATTAACCAGCGGAACAACCTGCCTCCAGAAGCGGTGAATGCCCCAACACTGGAAGTTTTTAAGAAGAGACTGGACAGCCATTTGTCCGAAATGGTGTAGGGTTTCTGCCTGAGCAGGGGGTTGGACTAGATGACCTCCAAGGTCCCTTCCAACTTTATTATTATTATTATTATTATTATTATTATTATTATTATTATTATTATTATTATTATTATTATTATTATTGTTGTTGTTGTTGTTGTTGTTGTTGTTGTTGTTGTTGTTATTATTATTATTATTCTCAGAATTCTCCATCCAATTAGGCCGAATTCTGGGAGGTGAAACCCAACAAGTCCTAAAAGCTGTCGGACACCCCTGATCCGAAGCCCTGTTGGCCTCGGTCCTCAAAGACTCGCAACTTAAAGGGGGGGGATCATTCACACCCAACACCCGCACCCAAATGCACAATCGCATCCCCTCGCCGCGTCCCCTTCCCAACGAGCCGAAAGAAGAAGCCGCCCCTATATTTCGAAGAACCTTTATTCAACACTGAATCGTAAAATAGCTCTTATTCGTAGGTTTTTTTTTTGTTTCGTTCTGTTTTGTTTCTTCTTCTTCTTCTTCGCTTCCTTTTGTGTCGTAAGTTTTAAATAACGCGTGGTTTACATTCGGCAAAGTTCAAGAGCAACAACATCAAAGTGCATTTTACAGACAAGAATTCTGCCCCTACCCCCACCCCGGTGTTTTTTTTTAAAAAAAAACAAACCACGATGGTCTCCGGACGGACCCTCCCCCATCCCTCCCTCCCAAGAGGGTCGCCAGGATGAATGACACGGAGGCGTCTGTCGTTGCTTCCCTTCAGCAGGTGGAGAAAATAATAAGAGACACCTGCCCACATCTCACCTGTCTGAACCTCATCCTTTGCCAATGCACCTCTGGAAGCCAGCTGCTTCCCAAAACAGGCACCCTCCAGATGTTTGGGGACCACGGGAGGGGGGTGTCTCTGGAAGGGGCCGAGTAGGATCAGGCTGGCCTTAAAATTGGGAACTAAAAAAAACCCTACTCAAATCTGCAAGTTGCAAAGACCTCCCTCGTCACAGTCAATCTCCCTTCTCCCCCCCCCCCCCAAAAAAACCTGGTTCTCACAACCCAGATCTTCCCTCCAAGCAGGAGTTGTGCCCAGGTTTGGGTTCTGCACGCACACACACGCACACACAAAGACCGATTTGTCCACATTTTCTTTGGAGTCGTAAAACCGGACCCGATTCGCTTCTAAAAACGAGAGCGGGCCGGCCAATATTGGGAACGATTCCAGTACAGGTAAGTCCTCGGCTTAACGGCCACAATCGAGCCCAATGTTTCCTGTCGCTAAGCGGGACAGTCGTTCTAGGGAGTTTCGCCCCGCTTGCCGGAGTCGTTAAAAGGAATCGCTGCGCTTGTTCAGTTAGTCGCGCGGTCGTTCAATGAATCTGGCTCTCCCCCCCCCCCGTTTGAGTTTGCTCTCTCAGAAGGCGGTCGCAAAAGGGGGATCGCCTGACACCACCCCCCAGGGGGATGCCGCGGCCGTCATAAATGCGAGTCAGTTGCCAAGAGGGGGAATCTCCCCTCCTTCCGCCGCGCCCTCAAGACATGGCTGTTTCAGCTGGCAGGACTGGGGATCCCTATAAAATTTAACCTAAAATTAGTTGAAAATTTTATTCTTTTCCGGATAAATTTATATAGAAAATTAAATAAAATTTAAAACATATAAACATAGTTAACGAGACAAAAAATTGACCGACATTCGG